CCCTCATCATTTCCTTCACCTGCTCCCCCCACCGACCAAACTGTGCAGCTCTGCAACTGCATCCTGGCCCATCCTCACCCTTCTGCCCCCAACCCTCACCTCCTTGTACCCCCAATATGTTTTTCCCAATTAAAAAAAAATTAAAAATGTCAATTTCAAACATAGTTATAACTTTAATTATGCTAATTATGATCCTCCTGCCAAAATATATACATACATATATAAGAATTATAATCACCTATAACATATTCAAATTCAGATTTAAGTTTTCCTATGTTGAAGTCTCTGAGCTGTTCTTATGCTTTGCTCTTACACAGGAAATGTTTAGGTCTATCAACATAATACTACTACTATGCTTAATAATTTCTACTTTCTTTTCAAAAGCAGTATCATACTGAAATGTTTCTCAGGTTCTAATTTCTCAGTTTTCAGTACTTTTTCTTTCTCTTTGCTCAAAGCCACCAGAGGCTGATACCAGCTGCTTGGTGTCCAGCAAGGAGCACAATGAACAAGAAGGAATGAGGTAAAGCTGATATTTCCAGGACTACACAGCTTCTCTGAATCCAAAAAAGCAATGTTCATTATTGAGCAAGGCTAACACTATTTTTTTAAAAATTAATATTCCTAAATTATAAGAACATAGAATAGGCTATTAGACAAAACCGAAACATTTCCATTGTATAATTTAAGTATTTTGACAGTAAAGATAGTTTACAGTACATAAGATCTATCCCAAACCACTAAATCTTAGACACCTAGAAAACCTTATTTGGCCATTATAGCTTCAAGTTTACTCCCAGCAATGTATAAACCTTAGATTTCTTAACAAAAACGTTGTATCAGATGCCTCAGAATTCTATTCCCATTATATTTTAATTACACTTTTCCTTAATTTACACTTTCGAGCAATTTTTCTTAGAAATATTTTCAATATTGTTGCTGCTGTTGTTATGTGCCATTGAGTCGCTTGCGACTCATAGCGACCCTATGTACAATAGCTCTAAATTCTGCTCTGTCCTGTGCCAATCTCATTGTCTCTGACACACTCACCCTGATTGCCCCAGTCACTGAATCAATGCACCTCCCAGAGGGCCTTCCCCTCCTGCGCCTGCCCTCCTCCCTCCCAAACATGATGTCCTTCTCCAAGGACTGGTCTCTCCTTACAACATGACCAAAATATGTCAGATGAAGCCTCAGAATCCTTGCCTCCAAGGAGCAGCCTGGTTTAAACCTCTCTAGGATGAATCTGTTTGTTTTCTTAGCAGTCCATGGTACCCTCAACACTCTTCTCCAACACCAAAGCTCAAAAGCATCAATTCTCCTTCTATCCTCCCTGGTCATTGTCCAGCTCTCTGACTCATAACAACTGATTGCAAAGACCATGGCCTGTACCAGATGCACAGATATCTATTCTCAGTATATTGAAAATTGTTGTACATAGGGTTTTCAGAGGCCTGCTATTTTGGAAGTGCATGGCCAATCCTTCTTCCTAGTGTGTCTTAAATCTGAATGTTCAGATTTAGAGAAGTATCCAACAGATAAGCATTTTACAGAAAAAGTGAAATTAGATCCGTTATTGTGGAATTAACCATTAGTTTCAGTGTTGTCCCTGCCCTTGGCACAAGTGTCCTGACCCGCTTATTTCTTAGCTCCACCATCCATCAAGATACCCCTCCACTTCTACCCACTCCCTTCAACATCTATCTCCCATTGTCTAGCCCTTGATCTGATAGCTTAGATCTAAAGCTTCCTTGGTTTCTGTGAGTCCAGATTCATTAGCTGCCAACAGTTTCTTATGCTGTGACCAGAGTCTCCTAAATTTAGTGGTAATGTGTCCCAAATGGAGATGATGTGTCCTGTGGAACTGGTGTTTAGAACAGTTTTCAATATGCTGGGAATAGATATCCTATAATCATCATTTATAAAACAGAAAGCTCATTATCAAGCCTTCCCTTTTCTGGAACATAAAAATATAACTCTATTAACTCTTCTTTGAGTGAATTTTTTTCTTTTAAAATTAAAAAATACTCTCTTTTCCTCTGTATAAAATAAAACATGATTTTTGCTTAACAAAACACACATAAAAAATGGAGGAAGCTTCGTATGTGAGGTCTCCCTTTCTCATGCATAGAGTACCTCTGCTAATCCTTAATACAACTATAAACGGGTACATTCTACTTCCTGGTATATTAACCTTGCAAATGCCACTTTGACTGCCCAGCACAGCAGGGAGCTCTAGTGGCCTATAGCTGGGCTGCCTACCCAATGGCATGTGGTCTGAATCCACCAGCTGCTCCATGGGAGAAAGAAGGACTGTCTCCCACCACAGGATTTACTGTCACTGAAAACTTGCTGGGGGCTCAGCTAAGAGTCAGTTTTGACTCAACAGCATAAAACAACAGCAACATTAAGATAGTGTTAGGACAGTTTGACAGTTCGGGGATTGAAAGATGTTCTAAACTAAAATGGACTAAAGTGCCCCATTTAGTCAAGCTTAGAAAATTAAAAAAATTAACATTCCTAAGTCACAGAATGAAGATGTTTTAGGAAGATTTAAAATAAAACAACCTTTACTCTAAAACTACATAAATCGTTTCACCATTCAAAGCACATTGTGCAGAAGCAAACACCCCCCCACCCCACACACACACAGAGTAAAAGACCTGACAATTCATAAAATACATTTCTTCTTAGGCATCAGGTTCAGAATCATCAACTCTTTCCTGATTCTCTCCAAAAAGAACTTCCGAAAATCTGTTTACAAAGGGACACCTGAAAAGCCAGGAGGGACATCATCTCCTGTCACTTTGATATGAAAAGCCGGGTGCTGAAAGGTTGATTCGAGCTAATTCCTTGGGCTCCATCAGTCAGCCCGAGCCTGTCACTCCTGCCAGTGCCTGGTGTCTTGAGGAACGTTTGGATACTGGCTACAAAACATCCAGCACTATCCCTCTGGTATATCACTCCTACAAGGGGCCTGCCATCGCTGAGCAGTCAGGCAGCAAGAGCTCAGATGGAGATAGAGGAAGCGAAGCTATTCCAAACAACAGTAAAATACAGCCACAGCCTATTTAAAGCTCCAGGCTAAGCAGCAGAGCCGTATCAACTGCAGAGCCTCTTCTTCTCATCCCTAGTACAAACCCAAGTGGTTACACAAAATGAAACCTGCTCTTGACCACAGACTCCTTCCCTGGATGTCTAGAAAACGAACAGACATGGCAAATATGGGGAGGGAAGAGAAAGGGAATAGAGAGAAAGATCTAGTTTAGAAATCTATCCCAAGGGAACAACCAGCCTTTTGAGTTTTTCTCTGTTTAGTTGCTTTTACTCCCCAGCATGGATGTGGTATTAAAATCATCCAAACACCCCAATTTTTAGGGAAAAATAGAAAATGGATCCAGAGAATGGGCTTTCAAATGAGAACAATTCCTTACAAAAAATACAGTATCCATTAGGATAAAAAACTGAAACCATTATCTAAGAATATATCCAAATATGTACGAGTACACACAAAGGAAATATAGTAACAGGGTTTGTAAGCTTTGGGTTCCAGGTTCTATCTTAAATTTTATACTTTTCCTATATAGAAATGAGGGTTTCTCAGTGAAATAAAGAAAGGTTTTTATGTTTTATGCTGAATATCCAATATTTATAAACCTCAAGTACTTTCATTTAGGCTTAAATCCTCTTAAATTTTCCCCATGCTGGTCCCTAAGAGCTCATTTTTATGCCACGGTGGTTCATGTCTGCATTTTTAAAGCATATGCGGAACCCAGCACTTGCTTTAGCAGTCAGGCTGCACACATTGTGCTCATGTTTTCCAGCACCTTTGAAGACAGAGTGGTATTTAATATGGAATATAAGCAGGCTTTTCATTGTACACTGCAGAGTAATTGCTTCCCACTTCAGAGCTACAGCATGAGTTATCATCTCAGGCTCGCTGTCTAAGTGCTGTGGCCAGCATGGAGAAAAATGACAAAGAACACTATGGGCTTACTCAAGGGAGTCAGGTCTTCACCAAGTGACAAGAAGAAATCCTGCCTGGCCAGGCATGGCATAATGAGCTACACCATGAGAAAGGACGTATGTTAAAGTGCCCTGGATTTAGGAAACCTATTGTCCTCAGAATGCAGCAGCTGAACCCATTTTGGTGTCCAATACACCAGATATATAGCTGCACATGGATGGTGTTTACAATGATGCACATATGTATCTGAGGAAAACTCTACACATATATTTACTAAACTTATTCTTTACAGATTATAGTGAAAATGAGAAACATGATTCCCTTTAGATTCTAGAAGCTCACCTAACCCAACCCAATACTTTCAGAGCTTCCTAATACCAAGATGGTTTACCAAATGCTTTCCATATGGTCTACAGATAGAAGTCTTTTTATTTATTATATAAAGTAGATTATTCTTTACTTAAATATCTCTTTTATGTAGTTTTCATTTTCTCTCTTGCTTCCCCCTATCATAATCCCTCCCCTTTTTTCAGCAATACAAAGCATTTTTTAAAAAGTGTATATAGCTTTTTTCTTCACCCAACTTACCTGTTTATTAAGTGGTACATGTAGCCTCTCTCTTCACCCACTTACCTGCTTATTAAGTGGTGCTCTCCAGTTCCTCCTTTCTCAACCCTGGTAACCCTCCAAGATTAATTGTATCTATGTGTTAACATTTTCTGGTCTATGTATAATGAGTTTAAAGTCCTAGCTGCCTGAACCACACAGTCAATGGTTTTCTGTATTCAACAGACACCTAATGAATGGAAAAAGGGTCTCAGAGAAGCTGGGCAAAGCCTAAAAAACAAATCCTTCAGCATCATTACAGAAACAAGTGAATATGAAGGAAAAAGAAAACTGACAAGCACAGATGGGTAAATTAAACACAATATGAAGGCCATCACGTGTAAATGAGTATATGGACATACTGAGAAGTGTCCCAATTCCAGTTCAACATTATAGACATCATTCTGGTTGAGACATGAACCCTTACCTTTACTTGTCTCTTGTTGGCTTCTCTTCTGGCTTCCCTTTCTTTCAGTCTTTTCTCCTACAACAATAACAACAAAAAAATTAGCAACATATAAACTTGTATATATTTGGTATAAATCAGATTATAAAGTCAAGACCATTTTTTTCTTAAGCCAGATGATCTGGCACATTAATTATCAACACTATTTCCTGAGTACACTTTAAGGACTCAGCATATAGACTCATAATCTTTAATTATATAGGTCAGCTGAGCTGACACCGAAAGTCAGGTCTACCAGAACTTTTTTTTTCTTTTTATCTTTTATTTATCTTTGCTAATTCATTTCTTATATATATACATATATACAAACATTCATACACCAGGATTCCATATATTTGTATACCTGAACACCAACCAAAGGTAAGATGGTTTTGTAAGAGTTTGAAATTCTTAGTAATCCACAGACCTAGAGTTTTTCTTGCCACTAAAAAAGGCAGTATACGCAATGGGAGAAACTAAGAACACAGTGGAGTCACAAAACACAAAACAAAACACATACTGTTTCGCCTGGGTCATATCTCAGCTGTACCACTCATGATCTAAATGATCTTGGACAAGTCCGCACTAAAGTCTAATCATCACATCCATGTACATATTTACTTATCCTTAACACAATGGTTGTGGGAACTAAAAACAAGATGGGAGAAGGACACAGCTGCTGGTTCGTTTCATAGGGCTAATCATAAAGATAGTAAGTCAGTGTTTAAAGGAAATAGCTATCTAAATCCTTGAAATGTATGGGTGACTAACATCATGTATCTTCACATTCCACATAAATTGATACCTAGCCAGCAGGAAATCCACATCCTTTGTCTTCTTGGTGAACCTACCATTTACAAAGAAGAAAAGACCTCAAGGGATATTTTAATATCTTAAAGACTAACTGGAAGCCCCTTGACTTTCTTTATTCCTGAAAATGTAAAACCAAAGATGACCCTATTTCTTTGCCAACACTCAAATCTCATTCTGTATACTGTGTGATTCGTAAACTGTATGATCAACTACTCAATCTCCAGGGTTGTTTTAACTTTGCTTCTCCTTGCAGAAATTTCCTGCCAATACATGAGATTACGATAAGGATTTCAAGAGTTCAATCAGATACATAGGTAAGGACAGTAGCTGAGGTGGGCAGGATTGTTGTTGTTGGGTACCATCGGGTCAAGTATGAGTCAGAGCAACCCCATGAGCAATAGATGTGCAACCCTGTCTCATCCTGTGCCATCCTCATCATCTCTGACATTGCCAATCCATCTGGTTGAGAATCTTCCTCTCTTTCACTGACCCTCCACATTTCCACTGCATGATATGCTTTTCCTAAGAACAGCCTCTCTTAGCAAACTGTCAAAAATAAGTGAAACAAAGTTTCATCATCTTTGAAGTCAAAACACAAGGAAGAATCCAAGACACTAAAGAGCTGAACAGAAGATTCCAAAAGGCAGCACGGAATGACAAAGCAAAATATTACAATGAAATGTGCGAGGAGCTAAAGTCGGAAGATCAAAAGGGCCGAACTCGTTCAGCATTTCTTAAGCTCAAGGAACTGAAGAGCAAATTCAAACCTC